GATGTTGGTGTTAATTTATATTTTGCCTCCAACATTTGTTTCATCCTCTACATTTTTATGAAGGCTGCATAATGTGATCAGAGAGTTCTGTAATATTGACAAGAGGCAGTGTGAAAGTCATGAATATAAAAAGACTGCTTTGGGACAAAGTTAAAGAGAAATTGATGGCTTTAATAATGTCAGAGACAAAAGGCATTGGACAAGCTCAGTAGCATTTAAAATATTTATTAAACCCAGTCTGTAATTTTTCATAGGAAAGTTGCTTAAATGACAAAGGAATCATAATACAAACAGAACAATCCAGATGCCGCTGTGAGTCAGTACTACTTCAGACACATTTATATTCTTACCCTCAAGCTTTCTCAGAACCTTTTCTCACAGTTGCAGCTGTGTGGATAATTTGTGGAAGAACAGTGACAGAATCCTTCAAAAGAATGTAAGACAATGACATCAAGAAGAAGAAAAAAGTGTTTAGTTGTTTACATACCTGTGACCTGCTGATTGACCTGAAATTCATTTTTGTTTTCAGTTAGAGTGAAGTCATTGTGTTAGGTCAGTGATCTCTGCCTCCTGACTCTAAAACCTGGCTCTTAAAAAACCCAGATTATGCTGTTTCCATACCTTCTGTCAATAGCGCAGGAAATTCTAAAGAAAGATCACAGAATGGGAGTTGAAGGGTGGAAAGCAAAAAAACAGGGTTTGGTATTGTAGAGATTTTTTTTTTCCTTTAGGTCCTTTCTAATGTTTGGTTAGAAGGATTATTAGATTAAAAATGTTTTATTAGATCCATCCAAATACTGAGAAAAACACTGATTTATTATAATACAGTACAATTATTATGGACCTTCAAGAGATATGTCTCTCAACCTTCACCCAGTTTTAAAACTATTATTATTAAATACTTCCTGGCTTTGAATTGAGAAATATTTACAACTGATTCCATATAATACTTGAAGTTGGGAGAAAGAAAGATCTAAAAGAGTATAAATACACTAATTATACTTTATTTTCTTTATCTACTTTTTTGGTTTCTCAATTTAATATTTTTAGTATCAGAACCCCATTTGCATTTCTAATTTCTGTGTCGAGGTAAAGAGCATGAGCCTTAAGTGTGTGTCCTGAGAGCAACTAGTCCTCCACATACAGCACCGAATTATTTATAGTTTATGCTCTACAAACTGATGGATAAATTCAATGTAATTGTGTTATATTAGTTTATTTTGTCACATGGTAATATTAACTTTAACTGGGTGATAGAAAACGAGTAGTTCTGCTTCTTTGAGAAGTGACAACTATTTGAAATCAATTATTAATACCTCTCCAAAATAGTATAAATACACTAATAATATTTTAACCTTTATATTTTTAATTACAATTTTTCAAATATCTCTAATATACCTTATATATTACTGCTAAAAGCCTAATTCAGAAATTACATTAGATTACAAGTATATACTTCTATGGGGGCATTTATTTTATAATCAGTACCATATGAAACAATTTAAGCCAAGAATATATATTTTCCAATATTCCATTTGGCTAATTTCAAAACCTGAACTGAGCAGTCACACAACAGGTTAATATATAAAAGAGGGCATATGAGAGAGCAAGTTACCTAGCACAACGTGCTACCCACAGAAGTTGTTCAATAAATATTTGTAAATTGTTTTCTTAGAACTGAAAATAAACAAATCAGATTATATACTTTTCCTAAATTTTATTCACGAATAAAATTCATATATTTACATCTTATATTTCTTCTATCTTAATTGACAGGCACTTACTTGGTTATATTTTATAGAATAAAATGGAATAATATGTAATATCAACTATTTAAATGTTTGTATATAAACACACATGACCTGTTATTTGATATTAATATTACTTGACCTTACTTGATAATATTTTATCAAATAAAGCCAACTAGTTTAAAATGCTTCCTGAGTTAGTTTAGTGACCTTGAGTATCATTAGGAAGTTTTCAGAATACATAGACACTTATTTTTAAATATCACCTTTTACTTACAATATTAGGAGCCTTATTCAAAGATTTTCATGATACTGCACACAAATTGGATTCTAAGTCCAATTTGAAAACCCTTTGGTGTTCTTCATGAGTTTCTCTTTTTATGCACTGCCAACAGGAAGGAAAGACAAGTTCACAGAGTGCACTTCCTAACTAAAAATGACTGTAACAAATGGCTTGAAATGTTCTCTGGGGGATTATTGACTTTTTAATTCAGGCTGCCATCAATCCTCATTTATATTTCATAATATGTATCCCGGGAAAAATAACCTACTTTGAAATGTGTAGCTTGTCACTGAAGTTAAATAGTTGTTATGCCAATCACTTATCCTTCAATTCTATGTGTTTGGGAGATTTTTCAAGTAATCATTTGATACCAATATACTAACTAAGAAGTATATTGCATGACATTATTTTATTTTTAAAAAAGATGTATTTCCTATTTGGGTATAAAAGTTAAATATGTTAAAAATTATTGACCATTGTTTTCAATTCGTGCACAAGTACATCAATAAGCTAGAAACAGCTGGGAATGCTGGAGGAAATTGAACTTTTATTTGAAAAGTCCTTTGGGGAGTATCAGTGATATTATATGTGACTATTATATCTATGTTTTCTAATATGAATGATGTAGAATCCATTATCATTGAGCTGATTCCTGTGCTTCCTTCAAACTAATTTTCAAATATATTTAGGTTGTCTCAGTTTTTTGCTGTTCCACAGACTGTTGCAAGAAGCATTGATCCTTCCTTTGGCTACAAGTTCTATGGCAAGATATGCTTATTTTTATTAAATATGTCTTTTTAAAAGCGTATCTCCTAACTCCTAGGTTGTTAAGATATTAGACATTAAATCTGAGTATTTGAAAGAGTCTCTTTATTCCAGATCTTAAGATAAATGTGGTTTTGCTGGAAATATATTAACAAATCTCTTTTGAAAGGTATTTATTTGTACTTCCTATATAGTAAATTGTTAGAAAAACTATTCTGTGCTAGATATCTCAAGTGAACCTAAGCATATGCTTTATGTTCCTAAGAAGATAGGTACAAAAATATTGTTAAGACCTATTTTTGAAAATGTCTTTGATATTTCAAAATAAACTATTCAAATAGTCATCAAGGGAAAAAAATAAGATCTTGGTTTTACTCCCCATCATTATTGTGGATGTTTGTTAGCATGTGTGTATCTAGGAAAGGGGGAAGTGTGGAGCAGAATTTTAATGCTCACAGCTTTGGAAATCTATTCTTTTCCTGCTCCTGGAACTGTTAAAGACAATGTATGAGGAAAATCCCTGCTGCAGACTCAAAAGATTATTGGACCTTTCTAGGATCTCTCTCTTCCTCCTTGTCTCTGTGTCCTAGTTGACATGAGTCTAGTTTCAGATCTCTAGGATATAGCCAAAGAGGGAATTAAGAGGCCGGGGCGGGGGATAGGCATACTGACGCCCTGACCTGATGGCTGTAACTAGTGTCTTGGTTTGCATTGCCTTTATAATTTCAGAAAATCTGGAAAACCAGTACTTACTCATTAGTCAATCAAATTTGTATATAGAATAGCTCTGCCAGTCACTTAAAAGAGAAAAGTGGTAAAATTGGCTAGATATGTGCCCCCAAGGAGAGTCTCAGGTTGGTTCCCATCCTTGCATCTTATTGGTGTTTTGATGAGTATAAATAAAAGACATAAGGTAGTTCAAACTATACACCTTAAGAAAAGGGCATGATGGTCCAGAGAATTAAGACTTCTGTCCATTGTTTTTTGCTAAGAAATTTCTTGTAGAATATTCTTCAACTAAAAACTAGGATGATTTTCCTTGTTTACTAAGTCATAGTCATATTAAAGCAAATATAGGGAACAAAGGCTTTCATGGTTATTCAAAACAGCAAATACTAAAATGTGAGAGAAGAGATAGGTGTGATAAGCCTGTGTAACACGTACACCCTGTGGACTTCTCCATGCTCCAAAGTTCTTTAGTCACTCAGCTAGGTATGAAGATATAGAGACTGAATGAGGCAAAGCCCCTCCTGTAAGTAGCTTAAAACAACAAACATTTATTATCTTATGAGATAACAGCAACATAGAGATATGAGATAATAAGATATTGGATATCCTGAACCATCACACAACCAATGTGTCACTAAATCCAGCCCATGTGTAAAATGAAAAGAATTTCTCATCTTATCTATCTTATATCTGACAGTTGGTACTATCTTGAAGATAAGAATATCAAAAGATTAGTGCAGATACTTTAACACTACCAAGTAAAAGCCACAACTCCCCTTTCCGTTTTCTAGAAGAGGTTTTATAGGCTTGGTGTTATTTATTCTTTAGTTTGGGGAAAATTCTACAGTTTTTATTGAATAAAGTTTTAAATAATGTATTGCATTTCTTTAAGTGTTATAAGATTACTGAAGCTTTGTAGTATGTTTGAAAGTTGGGAGGTAAAAGGCCTCCAGTTTTGTTCTTTTTCAAGATTCTTTTGTCTTTTTGAGGCCCCTTGTAACTCCTTATAACGAATCGGAGTATTAGCTCTTCAAATTCTGCAAAAATGTAGTTGGATTTTGATAGAGATTACATCATATCTAGTTATCAACTTTGGAGTATTGTCATCTTATCAATAATAATTCTTATCAATTCTTACCATCCTACCAGTTAATTCTTTCAATATGTGTACACATGATGTCTTTTTAAAATATATATATTTTTATCATTTTTAAGGACTTCTTTAAAGATTGAAGCAAGGTATACTAGGCTCAGCTTATATTTTACCCTAGCATAGCCTCAGAATAGTCTGTAGCCAAAGATCTCTGGTACAGTTTTAGTAGATAATGATATTTGGAAACTAAGATCTGTAAAATTATGCAACATCATTAAATATATATAATTTGTATTTTTATTATATTTCTGTTTTGTTTTTTTTGCTTTAGAAAATCAAATATGGATTATTTACTCACTCTCTTCTTCACTTCTTTTTGCAGTTCCTCCAGTAATCCGGGTGCATCCGGAGAGTCAGGCCCGAGAGCCTGGGGTGACGGCCAGTCTGCGGTGCCATGCTGAGGGCATCCCGAGCCCTCGGCTGGGCTGGCTGAAGAATGGAATGGACATCACACCAAAGCTGTCCAAGCAGCTCACTCTTCAAGGTGCTTTTTCCTTGACTGCGTAAAATTTTATACTAAAAATTTGTATCACATTTTATATCATGTGGTTAAAAAAAAAGAAAATGAATCAGTCGTGTCAACAAAATGTCACAACTATGAAGAAAATGTGGTTTACCTAAGACATTATATTTGAAATAGAGTCTCTTACTATTTTAATGTTTTAAATAATAGTCTCATCATAATAATTAATTACATCATTATTTTGGTGGTAAGTAAAATATTAAATTATGTATCTTTTTGATACTTGTCCTCTGAATTATAGGAGATATGCTGAACAGAATAATTGGATCTCTTCATAGAATCCAGTTCTGATGTGACTATTTAAATGTTTAAATCATAGATTAAAATATATATTATAGAGGGTGTTGATAATATAGAAATTCTTTAGTGAATGTTTTGAGTATAATTTGCAAGTGAAGGGAGATAAAAACTTAAATGTTACTAAATGTTTTACATTTATATTGCTTTAGGTTATTAAATTACTGTATTCTAATATATAAAATATTCTACATGTTCTACTATTTTAATGTGCATATATAATTATTAATATTATACTGATTATAGTCACATACATGTTAAGTGAAAAAAGAGACAATCTGCAATATCAAATAATCTAAATAATGAAAAAGCAGTTGCATACATGTTGATTATATTACTAAGTAAGAAAACATACAATTTTTATTTCTATTGTCAAGGGTAGCAGACAAGTCATTTTACTTGATTATCTGCGACATGACATTCTATTCTTTATTTCATACATTTAAATTCTTTCCATTCATACTTTCCAAAATAAATATATTTTCACTTCAAAAAATTTTGTAAGCATACAAAATTGATTGGAATTTTACTCTTATTCCGCTCTAACAGCAAATATGTTCTATCAGTATTTTTAAATAAATCTTTTGAAACATTAGCTTATTTATTTTTGAAAGTCAAAAATGACACATGTAAAAGTATTTTTGACCTTTAAAATCTAAATCCTAGAAATCTCTCTACTGATATAAGCAGACCCAACAAATTTACAAGTTTATATCTACCGATTACGTCTTGCTTTTTGTAATCTAAGGAGAAGATTGATCTGATTATTATAAATTAAAAGGAAGGAAGTTTCAGTTAGTTTTTTCTTGTGTAATTTCTTGCCTATTTAATAGTAACTAATCATAAGAATATGTATCTTTATTTCAAGGAATATACAGGAAGCAAATTTAGGGAACTGGTTATAATCCAGACTCTCCTTTGAAAGAGTGGGAACCCTTGTAAAATGGCTATTGTCCTTTTAAAAACAAAGTTAAAAAAAAGTAAAAATTTGAGACTATATGGCAAATAATGAAAGGTGAATAAGGAGCACGACCCAAGAGATAAAGCTGGGTGTATAGAAGTGTGAAACTCTATGTGGCTTTATATACAATTACATATTACTAAATACTATCATTATTTAATTATTCATTTATTCATTAGATGCTTATTTAACATTTTTATTTGAGGTCCAAGCCTGGGCACTTACTGAATAACCGGCAGTAGATGGGGTAATATGTTAATGACAGGTTGTAAAATTCTGGGAAAGCAGAAATATTTTATTGACACACAAATCAAGATAAATGACACAAGAGAATAAAAATCAGCAAAAGTGCAAGAGAGCAGGGTGAAACTACATAAGAAAAAAAAACCAAAGATGGAAAAAAACTTAATAAATTCAGATGCATAGAAAGGCTAAAGAAAGTCATTAAAATGTGTTCTTGGGTTAGGTGATTCATTTGTCCTTGCAACAATTAGAAAAAGCAGTATTAGTAGCAATCAGTCTTCAGTGAATTTAGAAATGAAAAGGAAGTGAAAAGCTTAAAAATCTCTTTCCACATTTTGAAGGGAAGGAAGAAAGAAAAGGCAGTATATGCTGTTAGAAAAGGTTAGGACTAATGAAGGTACTTGTTTCTCTTTGGACAATTTATCAGTTTGAAGGAATATTGGTAAAGAGAAAGATTTGTAGGTAATGGAAGAGGAGAAGATGAACAAAGAGTTATAGAAATCAACAGGAAAATAGGGGAGATTTGCCTTGGAAAGAAACAGAAAATTTATGTTGAGAAGTAAATAAAGGTGAAGATGAAGATGGAAACAGGATGTTTTGGGTTTACATTCTTTTTTCAGGTTTTTATTGAAAAATAATTGACATATATCATTGTGTAAGTTTAAGGTATAACATGATTATTTGATTCACATATATATTGCGAAATGATTCAGATTTCCTTTCTAATCACTTTTGTGCACTTTATGACTTAAAGGGCAAGGTCACTTGGAGTGAGAAATTAGTTTCATAATGTGAAACATCAAACAAATAGTAAGGATCTGAAATAAAAGTGGAGTAGGACATGAAAGTCATCTAGCTGTAAAGGTCAAGTGAAATGAATACAGGTGGCATTGAACATCCTGCAAATTGAAAACTGTGAAAATGCAAATGAATTTGCTAATGCAATAGTCTTATAATTTACTCAAAATCCTAGGTACAAAGACACCAGGTGGAAAGACACACTAGCTTGTCCTAGCTCTGGAGGTTAGTAAGGCACCTGGGTCAGCATGATAAATGGATGAGGGACTTGGTAGTTCTGGCAATAGAGTAGGCAACATCTAAAAATGCTAGATTTTGTAGGGAGGGAGGGAAAGTGAGTGGAGCATATAGGTTAGGAGAACATATAAGAATATTGAGAAGAGAAAATTTAAAGACAGGATACATTGACTTTATGTTCCAAAGACTCTAGGGAATTTAGGTTAAGTGTGCAGGTCTTAAAAGAAAAGTATGTTCTGTGGAGATAAAGAAACAGGAAGCTGATACAGGTTTAAAAACATCACTCACTCCCTATCTTTTAGAGCAGGGGGCCGCAAACTAAGGCCCACTGGCCAAATCTGGAAAGCTGCCTATTTTTGTACATAAAGGAATTTTTTGCTTGTTGTTTTCAGAAGAAGCCATGCTTGTTTTTAAAAAAAAAATTATCTATGGCTACTTTCATGCTGCTGTAGCAGAGGTGAATAGTTGCCACAGAGACTGTATGGCCCACTAAGCCTAAAATAGTTACTATCTGGCCTTTCACCGTGAAAACAAGAACAGTAGAAAAGGAAAACATTGCCAACCTATGTTTTGGACACGTGATTCTCAAAAAAGAATGGGGGGAATAGAGGTGTGCAGTAATGTTTATGAATTGAGAAAGAGGTTCAGCTGTTGAGAATGATGATGTCTCCTCAAACACTCATTCACTACCTCTCTGTATCCCGTTCACATCCCCAGAATGGCATTCAAGATCTTTGCCTAATAGTTTTCCACCTTCCTTCCCCAAGCAGCCACAATGATTATTTTGTTTCCTGTCACAAATAGTCATGTTCCTTTCTACTGCACATGGTACTCTTGTGATTGGATAACATGGAGCATTCACATGAAAACACACACAGGGAGACAAATATGGAAAGAAAAAAAGAAAAGAAAAGAAAAAGGAAAAGGACAGGGTCTAAACAAAGGAGCACAACAAATGCTCAACTTTAGAGTCTGATAGAGCAGGAGTCCAGCCTTTTTCTCTTTGCGCAATTTGTATAAAGTCATTCTGAGTCTCAGATCCTTCATCTAAAAATTAAATATTTGAGATGAATTAAGAAATAGTATACATGAAAGCATCTTGTATATTGCCAACATATAGTAAATCATTAAATGTATCTTGGGGAATGCAACTCATTATTCAGGGGTTACCTCAAAATATTATTTTACAAAATTTAAAGATGGACTATCATTTCTTTAACCTTTTGTTTAACATTGACTATATCAATTTCCATATTACAGTATTGCTTACTTTAGGTATATTTATGGCAAAAGACAAAATTTTGCAGATAAATCATGTGTTATTACCTTCCTGTACTTCTTACCCAATAATTCCAGATATATAATATGGACTTAATAACAAATTTGATCAGGGGCAATCATAGTTGTGTGATATAGCTGAGTTAATTTCTTTATGAAATTTTTTATATGTATGCTTCTGTAAATTAACCATAATTGTATTACATAAAACTTTTGTGAGAGCTTAGGGCAAGTAGATTCTGAATATTAAAAATAAATATATAATTGAAGTTATACTTTTCAATGTGAAATACTCCTTATGTAATGTAGGTAATAGGAAATGAATATAAAATATAAAATGTATGCTTTGATATTGAGTATTGGGTTCTCAGATAAAATGATAGCACAGTTTATGAAACACTTGAATGCACTTAGAATATTTTGGCATGCTTCCAAAGCATGGAAGTAAGAAGGGAAATAGTTTAATTAGGACAAGCTAAGAGAACCGTTGGACTGTGTAATCAGAAAGCACTGTACCAAAACTGAAATGGTAGTTTACAAGTTGCACCTGCCTTCTGTTTGCAGCCAATGGCAGTGAGGTTCACATAAGCAACGTGCGCTATGAAGATACAGGAGCGTACACTTGTATTGCGAAGAATGAAGCAGGAGTGGATGAAGACATCTCTTCTCTTTTCGTGGAAGATTCTGCTAGAAAGACCCGTATGTACCAAACACACACACACACACACACACACACACACACACACACACACGGTACTCAACTTTACAATTGAGCTTTTTTCAAAAAAACAAAATAACCAGAAAACTCTATGAAATGAATAATGCATTAAAAATGTCATTTATAGGAAAGATAGGAATCTTGAAATACTAAAGGTAGATTTAACAGTTAAAAACACAAAAATTTGGAAAACTGGAAAAATTTTAATACAACATTAAAATTATTCTGTTTCTTCTGCAAGTGTACATACGGTGTTTCAGGTACTCTCTTCTCATTTGCTCATAAAAGAATTTAAATGCCTTGCGAAATCCCTTTCCCAGTGACTTGGGGAATTTAAGGTCTCAAAATATAGCTAAGGCACATCCTATAGGTTTAATAAATTAATATCTATTTTCTGTCAGTGGCGTTGCAGGCAGTGGTGCCATAGCTGTAAAGCAAGGTGTCCCTGCAACAGGCACTGTGGTTACTGCCACCATGAGACACACACCGCCCTGGCACCAGCTTTGCTCCACAGGTTATACTTGGTTTAGTGGTAAAAATCCTTTGTCATCACCCTATATGCCTTCTGGCTGGATCACGAAGTAATAAGAAAAATGACTTCCCTTTATCTAAAAATATTACTTGGTGAGAGCGATAAGGATGGGATCAGGATGTAAAGATGGATTTTTGGTTACAACCGAATTGGTCAGAACTCCGTTACTGAAACAGCATTTATCAAGTGAGCTCTCTATAGGCAAACCCACGGACACTTCTGGTCCACACACACCCCCGTATGGCTGCTTGAAAATTGGGTTTCGATGGACAATGGACCCTTGAACAATGTAGGACTTAGGGATGCTGACCTTTGGCATATTTGAAAACTTGTATATAACTTTTGAATCCTCCAACACTTAACTACTAACATAAATAGTCAATTTACATGCTTTTTGTATATTAAAACTGTATTCTTACAATACAGAAAGCTAGAGAAAAGAAAATGTTAGGAAGAAACTTGTAAGGAAATGACAATACACTTACAGTATTTGATGAAAAAAATTCACCTATAAGTTGACCCTGCAGTTCAAAACTGTGTTGTTTAAGGGTCAACTGTACTTGGAATGTCTTCTGCTTGCTCCGCTGATCTGTTATATCTATTTACACCTGCTCTAAGTTTTGGCAGGGTTCTGATATTTTGAAAACCCTCTAGATTGTCATGCTCATTTCTCCAAACCCAGTTTTTGAACAAGGTTAAAGCATTGTCCCAGGAAACTTCTTAGTTGTTTTTAAATCCATGAGCACACATAGATATGACTGAGTCAAATTAGAAAAGAGGATCTTATCTTTTGACTATCAAGTTATCTTTTTCTATATTTAGTCTGGTTAAGAAAACCATCATTATAAACTAATATTTAAAAAGAAAATACTTAGTGTGAAAAAAGAGAAAAGAAAGCTGCATTTAATGTCCTGCATAAGTTCCACCATATTTTATTTTTTACTATAGTCCATGTATCTCCACAAAATACCAATTTGAAATTCATTTCCTATCAAAAAATTAATTTTAGGGTGACAATTAATTGAAGACTTTAGTTTGCTTTGTTCTTTATGGTGATATTTGTGAGACATTTTAATTTCAACTCTGTATTCTGATTTTCTTGTAATATCAGTTATGTATTTTTCAATGTATTTCCATATTTATGACATTAAAAGACCTTGTCATAATTCCCTTAATTAATCAATCATTATAGACTAGCATGGAAATTTGAGGAAAATTATAGAATAACATTTAATATAATTTTAGTCATATATTTAGTCATATGAATCTGTTAATTTAATCATAAATGGTTTCTGACATTATGTTTTTGCTTTATTTTACTATCATTTTAAACTCTTAGAGGTCAAAATAACACATTTTAAATTAGTTTTGAGATTATATATTAGTAGCATGCTGTTAAAATCATAATTAACATTTTTATAATATATAGTGGTGCAAGACTTACTACATTTATACAAAACTTTCAAAGTTATCTTACAAGAAACAATACAAGTAAAAGATTTACTTAGGGGAAAGGGATTTTTCCTAAGACTAGACATAAAATATTTATGGGTGTTGTTTTTGTATTTAAATTATATGATAAAGAATAAAAACTAATAGATTTAATTTTATTATATTTATTTTTAATTTATGTATTTAGGTAAGAATACAAATATATTCTACCCTCTTAAAACTTTTAAGTGCACAAAACCATATTGTTAACTATGGGCACTAACTTATACAGCAGATCTCCAGAACTTGTTCATCTTGTGTAACTGTGACTCTCTACTCATTGAGCGGCTCTCTCCATTTCTCCCTTCTCCCCATTCCCTGACAACCACCGTTCTATTTTCTGTTTCTATAATTTTAACTCTTTTAGATACCTGATGTAAGTGCAGTTATACAGTATTTGTCTTTCTGCAGCTGGCTTGTTTCAGTTAGCATGATGTCTGCCAGGTCCATTTATGTTGTCACAGATGTATGATTTCCTACTTTCCAATGCCGAATGACATTGTATTATGTATACACACATTTTCTTTATTCATTCATTTTTTGATAGATATCTGAGTTGTTTCCATATTTTGGCTATTGCGAATGTTGCTGCAAGGAACATATGAATGCAAGTGTCTCTGTTATCCTTAATTCAATAATTTTGGATATGTACCTAGAAGTGGGATTGCTGGAATATGTGACAGCTTTATTTTTTAATTTTTTGAGGAATTTTCATGAAGTTGTTCATAGTAGCTCCACTGTTTTACTTTCCTACCAACAGAGTACCAAGGCTCCAATTTCCCTACAACCAGGCCATGACTTTTATCTTTTGTTATTTTGATAATAACCATCCTGACATGTATGAGATAATATTTCATTGTGGTTTTGATTTTCATCCATGATGATTAGTGACGTAGAATACCTTTTCACAGTCCTGTTGACTACTTGTATGTCTTCTTTGGAGAAATTTCTATTCAATTTTTGTTTAAGAGACAGTTAAAAAAGCAATCCCATTTATAATAACATCAAACAAATAAAATACTTAGAAATAACCTTAACCAAGGAGGTAAAAGATGTGTATACTGAAAAACAATGTATACACATCTTATATATAGATACGTATATGTATATATATATACACATATATAATACACTGATGAAATAAATCAAAGACATAAAAATATAGAAAAAATATTCTATGTTCAGCAGTTAAAAGAATTAGTATCGTTGAAATGCCCGTAATACCCAAAGCAATCTATGGTTCAATGCTATTTCCATAGAAATCCCAATGACATCTTTCTACAGAAATAGAAATATAGTCCTAAAATTCATATGGAACAACAAAAGATCCAAAGTGATCTTGAGAAAAAAGAACAAAGCTAGAGGCAACACACTTCCTGATTTCAAAATATATTACCATACTATAGCAAGTAAAACACAATGGTACTGACATAAAGATAGACATTTAGAGCAATGGAACAGAATAGAGAGCCCAGAAATAAACCCACAAATACACAGGCAACTGGTCTTTGACAAGGGTGCCACAATACACATTGGTTAAGAGAGAGTCTTTTCAAGAAATGGTGCCAGAAAACTGAATATCCACATGTAAAAGCATGAAATTAGATCCCTGTCTTAATGCACGCACACACACACATTCTCTCTCTCTCTGTGTCTCTCTACCTGAATTTATAAAACTCCTATAAGAAAACATATGGGAAAATTTTCATGACTTTGGTCTTGATAATGAAATTAATAGATTTTATTTGTAACCCAGAAGGCTCAAGCATTATGAATTCTTGTTAATATTCTACCTTTTCATAGGCAGGCAAATAGTTTATTTTAAATAACAAATTCACCTCTCATTTAAGTAAAGATCTTTAATTTTTACGTTTTTCTCCACAAATTCACTACACTGATTATTAAGAACATATCACATATATGGGTGTTGATCTGAAAGTGCCCATTTTTAGAAATTTATGCACATAACTAAAATAAGGATAATACTAAAAATAATTCAACTGAGCAGAATATTAGTAGCTACTGAAAATAAACTGAAAACAATAAACTGAAAATGTAAGCATATCTATATGGTAAAAGACAGTTTCCCTTGAAGTGTTTCTTGGTACTCAGTAAGCTGTCCGAGTTCTCTATAGCAAAACAAAACCGAAATCAGGTGAAACATTAGAGAAAACTACTTCATAACTCATATCTTAAGGATTGTTCTGGGTTCTCTTTTAGCAATTCTCTAGGCAAAGACCAATATTAATTATACAAGGCACATATGTATTTTGACAGATATTTTTTAAAAAACCAAAGAAAACAGTCACAGATCCATCAATAATGACTTTATTCTTATTTGTGCATATTAAAAATTTATTGACTTGCCCATGTTCACCAAAAATAATCTCGGAGATCTTTTTTCATTGTAATAGCAATGGGATACCATGTGTTATCTATAAAAGTTGAGTGGGATAATAGAAGAATGTGAACTTTGGAGCAAAACCTGAGTTAGAATTATTTTTCTACCATGTAATAGTCTCGTGGTTTGGGGCTATTACAAGACCTTTAATTTCCTCATCTGTAATATGGAATAAATTTTAACACACTTAGAGATTTCTGTGCAGATACTATAAAGTACTCACCATAGGGTGAGACATAAAGGAGCTCTTCTATTCATGCTTATTTTATGAAAATAATTTATTTCTTGCTAGAATCATTGACAGACACAATTTTTTTTAAAAGCCTGGAGAATCAGGTGATTATTAGAAATCAAAGATTTTTGAACACGAATAATACATATAGCTAGAGATAGAGATTGGTGTAGATATAGAGATAAATTAAGAGATGGATGATAGATGAGGAAGATAGAAGAGATTAGACAGATGAGGATATGAGCGTCTATGTTATTATATATCCAAATATAAAATATTGTTATTTCTCTTCACATTAAAAAAATTGACTCAGCTGATTAGAATA